AAATCCTACATGAAAATTTAAATAAAATAATATTTCACAATAATTTTTGCACTTAAAACTGTCTTTGAGGTTTCCCACCAGGCCCTTTGAAAGTCACAAAAAAAGATGTATTCTTCCATTTCATAAAAAAGAGAGGTGTTAGACATATTGAAATTTATTTGCTATGTTAATATTGATGAGTTACATGGAAAAAAATGTCATACAAAAAGAGGTGCTCAGCCTTCCCTAGGTTAAATTTGAATAGGGAAATATAATTATTATAAATATTTCAGAAATTATATCCTATATGGGAAATACCTAGAGGTTTGTCTGTGCCCTTGCTGTCCATGATCTCTTTATGTATATATATATATATATATATATATATGCTGTCCACGATCTCTTTATGTATATATATATATACTTTTTTTATGAAATTTTATTAAAATACAGATGCTTAGGATCTATGCCAGATTTCTTTGAAAATAGGCTCAACTGTTATGTTTATAGACATTTGGTACAAAACGTTTTTGTAGGATTGGCTTTATTATCTTGTTTTGCATGCCACAACAACCAAATTTCCTTTTCACTTGCATTATTCTCATCATGTATTCCCACCAGACTTTCCATTTGTAAAGATTATTAGTCATAAGTAAGCAACAGCATTTTAAGCCTCTGTCATCTCCAGATAGTTCTTGGTTTTACTCTGATATTCCCCGGTAGGCTCGGCAACCAGCTGCGGGCCAGAGTTCTTGTCTTCACCAAACAAGGGCAGTCTCAGAGCCCCGTGGAAAAGGACAAGACCTCAGGAACTTCAAAGAATAGGCTCTTGCATCCAGGCCTCTGATGTCATCGCATAACGACATTTAAGACCACACCATTGGAGAGTCAGCACTTCCAGAAGGCCTTAGTTGAGAGGAAACCCTGGTGGCATAGCGATTAAGTGCTACAACTGCTAACCAAAAGATCAGCAGTTTAAATCTACCAGGCACTACTTGGAAACTCTATGGGGCAGTTCTACTCCGTCCTATAGGGTCACTATGAGTCAGAATCCATGGCAATGGGTTTGGTTTGGTTTGGGGTTTTAGTTGAGAAGCAGGTGAGTTCATGACAGTATCACAACATGCAGTGAAACAAGACCAAGGTTAACAAAGTCCAAAGACCTATTCTAGGAAATCAGTCCACTGAATCCTCACCTACCTGGTCTTCCCCAAATAAAGCAGAAGTGAGTGTTATTGAGAGGGACTTGTTGAGAGTGCTTTCCTAGGAATCCAGGAGACTGTAACACTTCCAAACTGAAGAGTTCAGCTTCTTTTTCCCAGAGGATAGCACTGAACACTTCCTACCTCGAGGCCCTTGCTCAAGATTCAGAGGAGGTAGGAGCCTTAACAGCAGCAGGGAGAGCTGGGCTCTCTTCCCCCTCACTGGCCGTGGGACCTAGGAGAGGAGTGACCATCTCTGGGCTTCAGTGGCCTCAGCTGTAAAGTGGGGACATAAAAAATCCCTTCTCCTTTATCCCATTTACCCATTTTCAGTAGAGATCTTTTCTTAAGAAAAGGTCATAGTCTAGGAATTCTACATCTGAGTAGACCTTTGAAGTAACTTCAAACTCCTCATTTTACAGTCATGGGAGCTAATGTGCCCCCAAGTTACACTGGTTCTCCTCCCTCTCCTTTCACTATTTTGCCTCATTGTGTTATGAAGTCTCTTTTCATGCCTACACCAAGCCAACTGTACCCTCCAAGTTCCCCAGAGGCTCCACTCCTGTTCTCGTGCCTTCTCACCTGTGATGATTTGTGCTGTGCTGACCTGGGTCTGACCCGACCAGTGCCCTGACTGCTGTTGCTCACAGACCTGGCTTGGCAGCCACACCCTCCCCAGCATCTGTCCACGCTCACTCGGGATTCAGCGTCCCTCTCCCAACAGGGCGCTGGCCGCCAACAGTCCTCTTCACGGGGCCCAGGCTACAGGCAAATCCTTCCTCGCCGTCTCCCCTCCCACCTTTCAGAAATGCACAACAGAGTCTAAACTGGAGTCACTGATGCTGTCCCACGGGCAGCGATTCTCACTCTGTCTCCCTTCCTCCCCTGAGCGCAGGATTCCTGTGCACGTGTAGGAGGGGATTCGGGAGGGTGCGGAATGTAGACTGATGCCACGCTTGTCATCGGTACCACGTTTCCTGTGAAGCACAATTCCTAAAAGGGGTGGCAGTACGGCTCTGCCCAATCCCCCAGGCCCATGTGAGCCTGTAGAGAGCTTGTCAACACGGACTCATGAACGCTCACCTTCCAAACTTCAGCTCAGAGAAGAAACAGGGTCTGACAGAGCCTAGGAAGCCTGCTTCTTACAAGAGTCATAGGGACCATTTTCTGCCGGCCACTGCGCATACTAGGAAGTGTGAATTTGGCCTGACACAGTTTACCCACCTGCTCTGGCTTCTCGGGCCTTTTATGAATTCCTCCTCGGTGCTGCACAGTGAAGTATCCAGGAGACTCTGTTCAGTGCTACAACCATCCACAGCCATAAGCCAATGTAAACAGTTCTACAAACATTGGACAGGGATTTAGCCAACATGTCATCTTCTTAATGATTAATTTTCTGGAATTACCCACCCTAGAGGCATTCACTGTAGGCTGAAGGATACTGGAATATGAGAAACCTGTGCCCTGAACACAAAGACAGTTCATTTCTGGGATGGGGGTGGTACGTTGGTCCTATTGTGTTATCAGCTGAAGGTGAATCTCTACCTGCAGTTGTTGGGGGGAGGACTGCCTGTCAACTTAATTGAACAGAAGAGTAACCTTTTCCTGACTGGTGGGATATACAGTTGCCCACCAACATTTTCTGCATCTCAGGTTCATTGGAATGCTGCTTTTCCAGTGACAGTGCATGCTACTGAAAGGCAGGGGCCTTTATGACAGTTTGAAACAGAAAACACGGGCATGTCCACAAATTACTGTTTCTACAGGGTATTGTATGAGGTGTGTGCATATTTGGTAGGAAAAGCAGAAATTTTGAAAAAAATAATTTGAGATACATATATCCCAGTGGTCTTGGGGGAGATTCTTGGGGGGTAAAATTAGTAAGACAACATATGTCACTCTGGACTCTAAGGTAGGCTTGTGGGAGGGGACAAGAAAAAAAAATCCATACTGCCTACCAAAAATTCAACAACACTCAACAATTCAGCTTGTTTCCATTAATGAAAACACATGGTATCAACAAAAATTCAAAAATAATTGGGTCTTGAAAGGGGTAAGAGTGAGCTTGGCTAATGCTCAGAGTGCTTCATGTCTCTATAATAAATCACAAATTTGTGGGGTGAACATTAGATGAGGGTTCTGTAAATATGAAGTTTAATAATGGGCATTATGTGGCAAGAATGTTTCCTTGGATTTATAGAAGCACATACTCCAAGGAGCTCCAAGCACAAGCCTGACACTGTTCCCTTCCTTCGTAGGACACTCCCATGAAGTAGGCAAAGGCCCAACCAGTTCCTTCTGCTCCGACAGATGGTGGAAGGAGGCAGAGCCAGGGAGAGTCATCAGGCTACGGGGAAGAGAGGAGCCCAGTGTGGGGCTGTCTGGTCCATGATCTAACTCTGTCTCCTCCCTCTGCACAGCTGTCTCCTGTCTCTCCACAAGGTTCTGCAGGGGTGGTTTTCCCAGACATGGACCAGGCATTCAGCAGTCACGTGAGAACCAGGCCCACCTCACCTTGGGGAGCACGCCTAAGCATCTGGTGTAGACAGAAGAAATGCAGCTGCTTATTGAGGGCGAACCGTGTGCCAGGCACGGTGCTAAGCCCTAGTTTACAGGCAAAAGGTAACTTAATCTTTACAAACACCCAAAGATGGGGGAACTCTTATTATCCCTATTTTACACATGAGGATACTGCTGCTCAGAGAGAATAAATGAATGCCCAAGATCGCGTGACCAGTGAGTGGGGACTGGGATTCCTAACCCAGGCCATATGATCTCACTGTTCAAGCCAGCTAAGCAGCCTCTGATCAGCCCTCCATGAAAAGGCAGGAGGCAGGAGAGGGTGGCCCTCGAGCATGTGATGAACAGGAGAACACCTCAAATGCTGACACAGGGGAGCAGTTAGATTGCTACAACACTTGATGCGACACCTATTTTTTAAATTAACACAACACGTAAGATAGTTTATAAGAATTGTCCGTATTTTTGAGTCCATCACTTGGGACAGAATTTATATAGGATACACTTAAATCTCTTAAACATGTATTCAGCCACGAATAACTGTCACTCTATCAAATATATGATTAGACAGATTGTTTCATCTGAAAATAGTATTTACCATTGTGTTTTCAATGAAATATATTTATAACTAAGTTCAGTGATATTTAAGAATTATTGTTAACTGCCTGAATTGCATGTTGTCTTAGCTCAGATAGTAGCTTATACATAATATTACTCTTTAATTTACCAGTGTCCACAAGAGTGGACAGAATGATAAGTTCCACAGGAAGAGTCTAAGCACTGACTAATAATCCCTGCCTCTTTTTGTGGAGTGAGGCAGAGAATAAATAATGACATCAACATGACCATAATTCCTTTTATGTGTATTTCTTTATTGTGTCCCCCATTACTCCTCAATCTTCATGTAAAAGCCCCATTAAGTTCATGCCAACAGATATGCCCCCTTCTCCACCCCCACCCCCACCCCTGTTGCCATAACCTTCTGACCTTTTGACATTCCCTCTCATGAATAAAGCCTTCCACTCTCAGCCGTGGTCTTCAGCTCCATTCCCAGTCTTAACCAACATTCTGGGCACTTCATCATACCAAGGAAGCCCCCAGCCAACATCTTGACCTTGTATGGCCTTGACCTTCTCAGAAGCCATGAGGAAGTCTCCTCTACCCCCCTCCCCACCTCAGCCACCTCAGCCCACCCAGGGCCTCTCCCTGCACTGTCACCATTAGAAACTGCCCCTCTCTGAAATCACGGATTCAAACAGCCCATGCTGACCACCACCTTCTGTCCTTCCAACTATCAATGGATCTCCCCTGGGATGTCTCACAGATACCTCTAACTCAAAATGACAGAAAATAACAGGAGTCAGAAGTTCAGGGATTTACCCTTTAATAGCATTTGCTGATGCAGCAGCACGGGACACCTTCAGCTGTGAGCAGTTTGGGGCCTAGATGAGGCTGTGAGGGCTCCCGCCAGGCTCTGGGACCTGGGCATCAGCAGTTCTTTGTAGATTGGGGCTTATCATCAACCTGTGACGTGGTCACATCACCCCAGAGGCGGCTGAGCTGCGGGTTGCTGTCCACTGCCCTCTCCACATGTTCTGGGGTGATGCGCATCCTGTGGTTGTTGTGGGCTTCGTCACCCGCCAGCTCCAGGATGTTGGCCGTCAGGTACTCGAGAACACCAGCGAGAAAAACAGGCGTGGATGAACTCAGGCGCTGGGCGTAGTTTCCTTCCCGAAGGAGACGGTCCACACGGCTCACGGGAAACTGCAGCTCTGCTCTTGTGGAACGGGAGCGAGATGGTCTTCTACGCTTACTGGAATTGCGATGGTGTCTCTGCCCAGTCATGATGTGTACTCGATTTGGCTCTGATCTGTTCAGCTTGATTGTCCTGCTGGTCTGGGCCTCTAAAGATATCTGTGTTCATGCCCACATAATTTATCCCTGTGCGTGGCCCCTTATTGGTCAGGGAGCTGCTTTTGTGACATCTGGACTTTGTGATGTCATTAGTGTCCACTGGCCCTGATCAGGCCTGGGCCTAAAAATGTCCGTGGTAGGAGCCTGGACATACTAATGACTGGATTCTCTTTTTGAGGGAACTCTTTCTACTTGTCTTTAACATTGTATAAAGAAATGTGGGTTTCACTGGAAACTTTGCCTTGTCTAGAAGACACCACTCCAGGTTACCTGGCCTTACATTATCTCTGAGCTCTTTCACAGCCCCTTATAAGTTGTAGGACACTGACAGACATGCACAATGTCTTGACTAGTAAAGGTTGAATCATCTCTTTTCTCATGCTATAATAAAATCAATTTTGCCTTGATTGACATATTCATTTCAATATGTCTACATTTGATCAATATGTCTGTGTCTAATCTTTGGATTCTTTTTTTGACCGGCTGTAACATCTGCCCATTCCTTCATGAGTTAAATGAAATCTTTTAACTCATGTTTATTTCAAATTTGTAAGAGTGTTATGATTCTACACTGTTTAAAAGATATCTTTTTTTTTAAATCTTTTAACCATTTAGGAAGTCATACAAGGATGCCCTTGTTATAAATTACCTGCCAGAGCCAGATAAACATCACTGACAGAGAAGTGTGCCTCATGCTTGTTTCAAGTCCAGGAGTGTCTTTTCTTGGCTCTCCTAGGTGAATCCAAAGCATAAATAAAACTTTGTTGACTCTCTGTTTTTCTCATTGTAATTTCTAATTTAAACATTTTATTTTAATTATCCTCTCTACTTATTTTGTATTTCTGTTTTGTTTTAGTTCATTTACAGCTGATAGGTTATTCCCCATTGTTCACAGCAATTATTGGGAACTTGGTTTTATGGTCTGACCATTTGGAGATCTCTCTAAATGGATTCATGGTTTATAGCGATCTAGCCTCTGTTGGGTGTGAGATAACAGAGAATCTGGTTTGTCAATCTTTTTGTTTGTTCCTCTATATTGGAGCTAAAAGCAATGAAGAATTTCATGCCTTACAGGAGGGGAAAAACTATTGATATCTGAGCTGGAGAGTTTTTCTGTGTGTTTACTCTTGATCAATGGCTGAAATTGTAGAATTGAAGCTATAAGCTCTAGTACTCTGTGACTCTATGTCTATGTGTCTCTAATTCAGAAACACATTTACCTCTGATTGTGTGTGTGTGTGTGTGTGTGTGTGTGTGTGTGGTGGGTATTAATATACTAGATTTTAAAGTCTCATATTAAAAGAGCTCTGTTCTCATTAGCATATCTAGATAAATAATTGCTTTTATAAATTAAATATTCCTAAAATTCCCTGAAAAAAAGAATTTTGAACTATAATAATTTAAATGAGCTACATTTGAACAATATATATTCTCTCAAAAACCGAATCAGAACTATTTTAAGAACTCAAATTCACATAATTTCTGTAAACTGTGACAAACCACTTTAATATCTTGGATTTAATAAAAACAACTAGGTCTTCTCTGATTTACTTGTATTAAGTATAATACAAGTGTACATTTTTATGTTACTTGGTTAAGTTTTTCCTAAACTTATACAAGTTTACTGGTCACATAAACTAGCATTACATCTACTTAATGTTTAAGATTATGAAAAACATAAATTTATGTTTAACCAAATTGAATCATTGTTCTGAAAAGTTGTACTTATACAGTAGTAAAGTTTTGTAGTATGTCAGCTTGAAGATAATTCCTAACTTTTTTAGATAACTTAAAACCTTGAATTGATATTATATTGAGTTAATAGGCATTCATTGGATGCCTAGATCATTTCTAAGATAGAATACTGAAACTTTGATTACTAAGCATAATTTTATACACTTTTGCTTCTTATCTGTATATAATACAAAAAGGCCATATCTTTGGTCTGTTAATGAATATGTTCATTTCTGCCATGTTGAGAAGCTGTATAATGGATGTGTGTAGCTGAATAAAGCTGGGTTAGGTGTATTTGTGAGCTCTGCTAGTCTGCTAAAATGACAGAAATTCACAATTACACACCCACTAGTTTTCTCTGCGAAATATCAATGATTTCGCATAAAAGTTATAGCTAATATATGTGAATGAGACTCTACCAGGAGTCTCAAGATGATGACACGTATTTTACTTTGATTTGATTAAGAGCAACAAAGAGAATGTTTATGTCCTGAAGTGAGATGACTTGTTTTTCTAGAATGGGAAAGAAGATGGTGAAGGAAACAATATAAATGAATATACAAAGCTGTAGAGGTTTGCAGAAAAAGAATCCGAAAAGGAAGACAAACTTTGTGTGAAAATTTTGCCAAATCTCAGTTTTGATGAGTTTAATCATAATTTTTCATAAAGAGCTTTCTGGTTCTTTAGAATCAAATATTATATGGAGGGAAATCTAGTTTGCTCTCTGTGAAAATGACTAAGATTTCTTAGAGTACTGGTCTACTCTTAATAAGATATTATAAAGGGTTATTCTTTACCACTATTAGTTTCTTATGGCTGCTGTAACAAATTATCACAAAATTGGTGGCTTAAAATAACACCACTTTATTTTCTTAAAGCTCTAAGTTCAGAAGTGTGAAATCGGGTTCATTGGGCTAAACTCAGGAGCCCTGGTGGTGCAGGGGTTAAGAGCTACGGTGAGCTACGGCTACTAATCAAAAAGTCGGCATTTGAATCCACCAGCTACTCCTTGGAAACCCTATGGGGCAGTTCTACTCTGTTCTGTAGGGTTGCTATGAGTTGGAATTGACTCGATGGCAACGAGTTTTTAACGGGACTAACTCAAGGTGTCAGGGGGACTGTCCTCCCCCTGGAGTCTCTAGGGAATAATCCATTCCCTGGCCTTTAAAAGTTCTAGAGCTGCATTCCTTACATTCCTTGGATCTGGCCCCTTTCTCCATCTTTAAAACCAGGAGTGTACCAACTTACTTCCGTTGTCACATTGCCTTTTTATTCTGTAGTTAAATCTCCCTCCTATAAGAACACTTGTGACTACATTTAGAGTCAAACTGGATAATTCAGGATAATCTCCCCATCTCAATATTCTTAACTTAATCACAACTGCAAAGTCCCTTTTGCCATAAAAACTAACATTCACAAGTACCAAGGAGTCCAAAAACCAAACCCATTGTCGTCAAGTCAATTCCGACTCATAGTGACCCTATAGGACAGAGTAGAACTGTCCCATAGAGTTTCCAAGTAGTGCCTGGTAGATTCAAACTGCTGACCTTTTGGTTAGCAGCTATAGCACTTAACCACTACACCACCAGGGTTGAGGTCCTGCGTATCTTTGGGGGCCATTATTCAACCTACCACATCATTTTGTAAAATAAAACAGATTTTATATGTCACTAGAATATTCCTTTGTTCTGACTTTATCATGCCCTTGATTATTCTCTTTAAAATAAAAGAAAGTTTCATGTTTCTGAATGTCTTAAAGATTTTTGTATGTTTAGTTAATACACCTAGACTTTGTGATATCATTGGTGTACACTCAGCCCTGATCAGGCCTGGCCCTAGCCATGAACCCAATAAGAACCTGGTCACACTAGTGACTGAGTCCTCTTTTTGAGGGAATTCTTAAATTTCTACTTGACTTTAACATTGCAGGGAGAAAAAAAAATGTGTTTCAATGGAAACTTTGCCTTACCTAGAGGACACCAAAGGAAGTTATCTGACTTTAACCTTGCATTGTCTGTGGGGTCATTTACAAGCCTTTGTAAGTTTCAGGTCACTGATAGACATGCACAATATCTTGACCAGAGAGGTTCAATAGTCTCCTCTCTCATACTGTAAAAACACCAATTTTGCCTCCATTTACATATTTCAATATTCCTGAACAATTTGTGGGCATATGTTCTTTGAACTTTCTTTTGAACTGATTATTACATCTGCTCATTCCATCATGAGTTTAATGGAATCTTCTAACACATGTTAACTTCATATCTATCTGAGCATTATGAATTTACCTTGATTGAAAAATATCTTTTAACAGTTTTGGAAGTCACACCAACATGCTTAATGCGTTTACCTACCAGAGCCAGGTAAATGTCAATGACCGAGATGTACATCACTTGAGTAATTAAAGCCCTAAAGTGTCTTTTCTTGGCTCTCCTAGGTAAATCAAAAGAACGAATAAAACTTTGTCGATTCTCTCTTTTTTTTTTCTCATATTAATTTTTCTCTCCACAAATTCTGTGTTTCTGCTTTATTTTTAGTTCACTTACAGCTGAGAACCATTTTGAACATTCTCATTCAAAAAAGGAGAAAGGGGAAGGAAGAAACAATTGTCCAAGCAATTGTGAAATCCAACTAGGGAAGCTCCATTAGGTCTCCTGGCCTGGGAATAATTCTCTTCGGCTCAAGGCTTTACTCTCTGATACCATGACTTTACCTTCTGGGCTCACAGCTCTTCCCTCTGGGACTGAGGCTCTGCCCTTGGAGTCATCTTTTCCTTTGTCCTGAATGGTAGCACATGTGTGAAGATGAGTGGTTTTATCAGCCTGTTTCCCGTTTCTAGAATTTTGGGAGTCCCACAGCCTTGTTTCATTTTATCCTCTATCTGTCCCTTTTAGTCCAAGATGACAGTGTTTCTGGTATTATAACATTCTCAAAAACCTTGTGGGTTTCCCGTGTATGTTTTGGGGAGTCACATCATTAGATAACAGTTTCTTCCACACATCTCTTATGGATAATCTTATGCCTGTTCCTGGATTCTGCTGAGATGGCTGATGTTAGCCATAAGTCACACCCCTAATCTTTGATCTTTTGGTCCTTCAGAGGGACTAGGAAAAGGTTGCCCAGACACTCCGTTGATTTTATCTCCAGAGCATATTTTCCTGATGGTGAATTTCCTAATTTTAGCATGGTTTGCTAGC